TTTGGCTTAAAAACAACGACGGTTCAGCTTTTTGGTCATTGTCAACATTTAAAATCGCTGAGAACCCATAAGATAGTAAATTACGTGTCTGGTGTCAATATTTGTACTGTGTTCGATGTTTTAGTTTAAAAGTGGAATCGGCTGGGTGTCTGGTCCACTCAAAGTAACCACGAACAACCCAGAAACAAATATCGATGCTGATCTGTTGTTGAAATGTATTGGATTAAGTTTAAATAGCGGAGCATACCAGTCCAGTCTGTCGGACAAGATGGATGAAAAGAAGCAACTTAAAGTGAATGAATATTTCCAAGTTGAAGACTTTGAGAATGTCTTTGCCATTGGTGATTGTTGTAATAGCAAGGAGATAAAAGAAGCTTTTATTGCAGGCTTGCATGCAGGTAACAAGTGTCTGGGACGCACGAGGACGTCTTTCTTTCATTCAACAGTTTAAGATTACGCTATTTTTGTCGGCTAATCACATTTCACAAACATTTTTTCTGCGGAAATTTTCCACGGACAGAAAATTTTCCGAAAATATCTTGTTAAAAGTTGGAAATTTTCAACTTCAAAATTTTTTTCCGACGGAAAATTTGTGTTGCCCAATCATATTTTACAAATTTTTCTTTCCGCGGAAAATTTTCTTGAGTGGAAATGAGCCTTTAAGGCGGTTTTCCACTAGGCGAAATGTTTCGTTCGAACCTAAATTTCTATTGTTCAAATTCAAAAGATTTTTGATTAGTTCCATCTCTGAGTGCTTGTAAGACAAAAAAAATTTCGATTTGGTCGAAAAATTTCGCCCAGTGGAAAACCGCCTTAAGGTCCATGCACACCGGACGCGATTCGACAACGCGACGCGATTTTTTAGTTTTTGAAAGTTAATAAAACAGCCAATGAGAGTAAATTTTGAAAGATATGTAAACCAAATAACTCAAAATGTTATACCGCTTCTAAATATTTGGAAAATTTAAACTAGAATCAAAGTTATCGGTCAGTGAAAATCGAAAAATCGCGTCGCGTTGTCGAATCGCGTCCGGTGTGTCTGGACCTTAAATTAAACCTCACAATCGTCGGCCTCTAAGCACGAACAATATGAGACAAATTGACTAACTGGCGCTAACGTTTGTTTATATACCCAATTCACAAATAATAAGCAAGCCGTGTTGTATCAGATATACAAACTCCTTCACGCTGATGATTTCTTTTGTGTTTTCTTCATGAATTATTAATGACAATCTTCAGAATTATCATTGTTCTAGTATACAGTACAGAA